TCAAAGTAGACTATGACTCACCCACACCAGATGGAAAACTCTACAGACTGTCGGTTCACACCCCATCACAAGCCAGCAAAACATCCACGAAACAATATATATATTGTCACACTGTGAATCAGAGCGCGAAGGCGAAAAAAAGCAAAACAAGGAAAGGAAAAGAAGTAAGGAAGGAAAGCCCCACCCGTTCATCTATATGCAGATAAATACACATATATCGTCAAACAGAGCTGCCTGGTAAACCGTAGGCAGTGAGGGAGAAGAGGACAAGTAAACGAGGGGTTGTGACTTGTATAAAGTAACGCCCAACTATCCGCCATCGGAATCCTGGGCCCTCTATATGGACTTGGAGACCCCACGATCCCCGAGTTTGAATAGGATAGAGGGGGAGCACGGCGTAGAGGAAGAAGTTATTAGGGGCAAAGATAGGAAGAGGGACAATAGAGGAAGAAGTTATCATTGCCAGCTTCCCCCAAGCTCCGCCCCCCAATCCCTCCTCCAGCACCCCGCACACCCCCCCGCCACCCAAGGCAGTCTAATCAGAGAACTGATGTCGAAATAAATTTAAAATGACATCAAGAACGAAATGACTACAAGAAGGGCAAGCAAGAACCAGTATAACCGACAAGTTAACCGGAGACGGATTCTTTTTGCAGGATACAGAATCAATGGGGGATTGCTGCAGAAGGCAGGCAGGGGAAGGGGGGGGGGGGGGGGGGGGGAGAGATAAAAAAAAGGGACAGAGTGGTAGGAAGGCGGCATACCTAAAGGCCACAAGGCCAGACTAGCATAAAATGTGGTCTTACAGCATTTGGGGGGGGGGGGGGGGGGGGGGGTCTGGAGAACAAAAAAAGAAAAAAGGAAGGAAGTGAGCAGCAAAGAGAGAAACGAAGGAGTTGCACAGTGAGCGCCATCTTTTCAAGGACAAAAGAAAAAGAAATACAGTAACTAAAGATCAAAATAAAAGAAAAAAGAGAAAGAAAAAAAAAAAGACCTGAAAAGGAAAGAAAGGGCACGCGATGAGATGACAGCAGTGAAGTAAGATTCACCTTCTCTTAGAGATTTAAAAAAAAAAAAAAAAAAA